CCCCAGTCCCGTCCTTTATCTGTCCCCCAAAAATCTCATGGTATCTCCTCCCTCACAGAGAAACTCCCAGAGAAAAAACAAGTGTAGTCAGATGCTACACTCTTCTCCCCAACTTAGCCACTCTTTTGTTTTACTTAAGTACCCCTAAGTACCAGCATTATTTTCCTAGCAACTAATGGGAAAAAATTCTGTAAGCAAAAACAAAGAAACCCAACCCCCAACAGTAATTTTTACCATAGCCCTGACATTTGGATCACTGAACTCTAGATTCTGATTAGTGTGTATCTTGCAAATGTGAGAAACGACACTCACGCTTAAAATTTCAAAGGTTTATTAAACCTTAACAAAAATACAACAAAAGATTGAATAAGGAGAAAGAGCAGTGCTGCGATTCCCCTTGACTGGCACCCACATGCTCCTTTGCAAAATGGATGCTCTGTTTTTTATACCCTTAGTGCCTCTCTCATGATAGTCAATTCTTTCTCTGCCATCCAGTGGTGGATATTACTTTCTTATATCTCGATTGCAGGTCAGAAGACATTATGCTGTGCCTCCTAGTAACAAGCCAGCCCTGTCCAAATGCCTGGATTACCAAGGCTATACAAGGGGGAGGGGAAACAGGACTATGGGAGGACATTTATAATAACAAAACTATACATCTAAGAAAACACTTCTCTTAACATACCCATAATATTGATCTCTTAACTGTGAGGGCCAACCACCATGTCACCCATCTATAACACAAACAAACGTTTCTGCTTAGGCACCCATCGCTGATGGCTCTTCTCAGTTATGGCCCATCTGAAGTTACTGATGTGAAGGCTCTCTTTCCCCATATTTATTGGGAGAATACCAATAAAGTAGAATGTGAATAAACACGCTGCTTCAGTGACCATTAAGGCATGTCACCTGCTATGGCAGGCCTGTTCTCCACCTTGGGATACATGCGATGCTGTTCCCTGCCACCTGCCACCATTCCTTCTTGCACCCTTTGAAGAAGGGTCCCCTGACACTTTATCTTCCCAGTGGGTATAGATTTGTACCAAGAGAAAAGAACATGAACTGAGTATGCTGAAGAGTGTGCACAATTTGTCCTGCCTTGCTAACCACCAGTGGTCTTTGTAAACAAAGATGGGCACAGCATCACTTTTTTACTGTTAGCAAACTGATGACCATCACCCCAAGCACTCTTCTTACTCTTACAGAGGAAAGGCAGGAAATAGTGGCAGCACTATAAATTGCTTTAGTGCTCCACTAAATTACTATAATTGCTCCACTCAGTGAGAATGGAGCCCCAGGCACCAGAGCAAACAAACAAAACCCCCACAAAAACCCAACCAAACAAAAACAACCCCAACCCAACTGCAAAGGAAAAAGGAGTTTGTGGAGAAGAGAACGAAGTAGCACACTGAAACTCCTTATCCCTAAATTCCCATGCCATAGAAACATTTTTGGGGCAAGGAAGACTGAAACTTAAAAAATCTTAAGTCTGAATTAAAGATTCAGCTTGACTGAAATGACTTTTAGCAAAAGCCGTCAGTGATTTATCAGATTTCACTGATCTGGAGTAACGGTCCTGATGCCAATACTCTATGTATCATCACAGAGAAGCTGTAAGGCCAACTTTAAAATCTTGTAAATACTGAGCATTTCAAGGCAAGGTTTGGGTTCAGATATATATCCAATACCTTTCCTTCTGTTGTGGTGCAGGCAGTTTGAGATCTGTAGGTAGTATAACCTGAAAATAGAAACTGTTAGAAACATAAATATAGAGGTGGGGGGAAAATACAACCCAAAAACCTATATGCTGCCAGAAAGCATCAAGAAAATCAAGAAAATCCTCTGTTTCGCATACAAAGCTTTGCCCGGGGAATTGTTTTAAGAGCCAAATAACAAAATTTCAGCTTCCCTGTAACTTAAAGGAGGATTAAAATAAAGAAAGAATGAAAGAGAACAGCACATGTGTACAAATGAAAGTTAAAAAAAAAGGCAAAACCCCCAAACCATAGCTTATTTATGCCACCTACTGGATTTCTCTTGAAGTATCTTTTCAAGTGTTTTAGTTGATGTTTAGTGATGTTTAGTGATGATGTCTATCACTCCAACAAATACCCTTGCATTGAAGACTACTCACACAAGTAAACCAGCTGAAATCCAGCTGATAACGCACAAGTAAACACATGTGCAGACTGACACAGCTGGAGAAGTAGAGATTAGGGTAGCTCTACACCCGTTTATTCTGCTAAGCTGATGGCTCTAGGGCAGCCCAGGCACCCAAAGCTGCAGGCAAACACTAAAGTTCAACACTTAGGAGTTTCTCAGCTCCTATCAGTGCCTCAGGGAATGTGCTGGCACAGTTTCTCTCCTTTGCTTGACTCCCTCTGGCTGGCTTTGATATTTTGTTCAAAATGTCCAGAGTGTTTATGGACATGTTGATGTTTTGAGACAATGCAGACTGCAGTGTGAATGCTTTATCTTCTATCCCGTACCACTCCTGCACCTGAGGCTCTTTTGGGAACCCACAACCAGCCCTGGGGATACAGTCTATAAAACGATCTGTCAAAAATATCTCAAAAACTCTCTGATTTGACCCATTGACAGAAAAAAAACCAAACAAACAAAAACGAAAATTAAAAATAATCAGGTCTAGCAGATCTAAAATGAAATGCACTGAGCACTGACTTCTGTGAAACTGAACTTCACTTTTCAGGCAAGAATGTTAGACTTAAACCCTTTTTGTCATCTCTCCACTGGCTTGCTGAGTCATACAAAATGTGGTAGTCACATCTGTCCCTCCAAATGACAATCTTGTTAGCAAATAAATATTTTGCCAGGTTCAAGGGATCAGCCAAAGGCATGCAAAGGACGGATCGTCACTAACAGATGACATTTGTGACTTTACAGACAAAGTTAAAGCTAAGGGACAACTATCAGATATCTATTAAGGCAAAAGAAAAAAAAGCAAAAATGTTGTTTGATCCTTCTTATTTTTGTAATCAGAAATACTAATTAGAGTTATTTCCAAAGGTGATGGCAAACTGCAGTAATCTTAAGTCACTGACATCATCACTAGACAGACTTAAGCCAGAGATGCCTAGACATACATTAAATGAATGACTAAATTTCCTGAAGACTTGCAGTGAGGTTATTGAGATTCGTCTTAAGACTAATGGCAGTTTATGACCATCTCCTATTGCTTCATTACGCCACAGATGACAAATCCAGCAGTGTGTTGTCAACTTCACCATACACCCATTAAAAAAATCGGAGAAAGACATTGCACTCTAAACCATATTCAAAGTGTGACTTGAGCTAGTAAAACTAAAGCAATTCATTATTAAATGATTGGTCATGTACTTGTATTCATCAGGCATCTCGATATTTTGGTGGTATTCATCCAGAACACAAAATACCAGATAGGTACTAACAATATTAATATTTTGTTCTTCTGTACAGTAGTTTTTGTAACATTATGGATAATACAGATGTGAGCAGTTAGCCTGAAAGGCAGTAGTAGAAAATGCTAATTATGTGAAAGAGTGATGAATTAATGTTCTTCTTGGAATTGTTGCATTTTTTTCATCCTGTACTTCGTCTCTGAGGCTGGCTGTCCCACTGAGTTTCTAGTGAAAAGTCAGGTATATCAGCATCTGGTGACTGCTATTATTTTTCCTTTGTCTGTCTTTGCCTGCTTTATGCACCGTCCTTCTCTTATCTTTTCTCCTTTCCTGCTGTCATTTCTTATTTTCTTCTAAGTCTGTTGGGTTTTATTTTATTTTGTCTTTCTTGGTCTTTTGATTTAGCCTGCTTTCATCTACTTTTGAATTTGCATTTTCAATCGACTTTAAGATAATTTTTAGGGGAGCGCCTGAAAACATTCCTGTGTGTGTGCTCCACCATGAACTGAACTTCACAAACTGGATATTCAAGGCTTTCTCCTAGACAAAATTTTGGAAACTGATCAATGCCCATATGACTTGAAAAAATCTCAACTGGTTTCATTCAGGGAGGAATTTTATATTTTGATATACAAAGCTAAGTACGCCTACATTGTTCACCTCCTTAAATATTAGTGATAAATGTAAAGTGATTAGTGATACATGTAAAGGCAAATCCTAATTTTGTTCCTCTAAACATCGTGTTCATCTTCTCCCATCTTGTGGGAAAATGTGCAGTTACTGACATCAGAAATGTCAATCCCAGCAAAGCGATGCAAGGGAGAAGTTTCTGTTTCTGTGAGCTGAATGATGGTCATACCAAGCCCACACAGCTTGTGCTCAGCCTTCCATTAGTCAGACCATCCGACTGCTTGCGACTGGGGCTTAACAGTGTTTGAATGAGGTCACTCTTTGAAGAATGAAAAGTGCCATAAATGCCTCCAATATTGTACCATGAAGGAAAAAGTTCTTTAAATGTCATTTATTAAAAGCTAATGCAAAGTATGAAGCAGCAAGGATCTGGGGCTTTCTTCAGGCTAAGACAGGCACTCACTGTTTCCAGCATGGAGGCTCAGTCTGAGCAGAATTAGCTTGGAGTTAGCTGATCACAAAGAGAGAGATGCCTTTCTTGGCTTCTTCTAGCAGAAATAAATTTCTACCTACTGTAACTTACTGCCATCTGATATGCTGAGTCATGAAGCTGGGGTTATAGAAATCTTTATGCAATCTTTATAAATCAGCCTCACATAATCTCAGGTGCTTTCTGCTTCATCTCTGTTGAGTCACTCATTTGACAGTTGTCATTCATCTTAGATTGAGATGTAATTTAATAGTTTCATTTCAGCATGAAGATAGCGTCATCTAAAGTTGAGCCCAGAAAGATTTAAAGGTGTAACAGAGGAAATATTAATACTGTAAATAATATCTGTAGAGCTGCATGTGTTTATAAATCACACAGTGCCAAGCTGGAAGGGCGGCCTATGTAAAGAAGAAAAAAGCATCTTCGCTTGTCTTCCCCTGCAGAGTTCAGCCGCTCTGCCACCCGCACCAGCTCCCGAGGTGATGGCTACCGAGTTATCACCATGCTCTCACTTGCCCTTGTACCTGCTGGAATCACCTGCCCACACAGTTATTGATCAAGGTGTCTTTACGTTGCGAGATAGGAGTGCGAGATAACTCGTAAAGGGAGGCTGCAGTCCAGCAAGACGCGAGCAGCCCCACGACAAAGCAGCTGAGCTGCGGCAACTCGCGTGTTTTATTCAGGCGTCACACCTCTCCCTGGGCCAGGCCATGTTGGTCGCCTGCCCAAACCTGACCTGCCCAACCCAGGGGAACCACCGCGCTTAAACGTGGCCTCTCTGAATCGCTTCCACCTTGCTGGCGCAGACCTCGTCTGGCATCACCACCATGGACACGGCCTGCGCTGGCCGCTGCGGGGCAGGGAGGGTGGTCAGAGGCCGCAGGACGGCCGCGGAGCCGCCCCCGACAGGGGGCCTGGCCATCCTGTCGTGCGGAACCTGCTGGCAGCGCGACTGACCCGAGCCCCGCAGCACCTCCGGGCGCCAGGCCGCCCCGGCCCCTCGCCGTGCATCCAACGAGGACCGGCCTGCACGGGGCCCGCCTTTCCCGCCGCAGGCCGGCCTGGTGGGGGAGGGAGGAGCGCGAAGGCAAGGGTGGCCGCTCCCTCGGGGAAAGGAAGATTTCGCGGCCACAAGGACCCCCCGGAGCAGGGGTGGGGGAGGCGCGACAGGAGGGGCGACGCCCGCCTGGTGCTGCCCGCCAAAACGAACGGAGTAGCGGGACGGGACGGGGCAGAACCGCGCAGACCGCTCTCCCGGCTGTCGTCCGCCTGCCGCGATGCCCAGTGACACCCCGGCCTTCAGCAAGCCCCCGGACGTCGCGGGCCCGGGGGACAAGGCGAGCAGCTTCGGGAAGGCGGCGGCCCCCATGGCGGCCGCCCCGGCGGACAGGGGCGCCGCTGTAGCGGGGAAGAAGCGGCCGCGACTGCCCAAGTGTGCCCGCTGCCGCAATCACGGCTACTCCTCGCCGCTGAAGGGGCACAAGCGCTTCTGCATGTGGCGGGACTGCCAGTGCAACAAGTGCAGCCTGATCGCCGAGCGGCAGCGCGTCATGGCAGCGCAGGTGAGCCGTGCCCGAGCGGGGTGTGTGTGCTCCGCGCCCGGGGAGGACGGGCCCGTCCGAGCCAAGCGGCCGCGCCGAGATGCGGTGCGCTGCGAGTCCGCAGCCGCGGGTAGCCTCGCCCCGGCCAGGAGTTACCGCTACGTTCCTGTGTTAGAGAGATTTCTGGCTGTATTTCTAGCAAGTTACTTAATTTATTCTTTTTTCCCCATAAAAGTGGGAGATACCCCAAAGGCACGGAGGATTGCAGTCGGGGCGAGCTGCAGCGGTGAGCGGTCAGCTGCGCCAGCCGGGCAGGGCCGGGCGCCGCTCCCCCGAGCCGGGTACGGTCCGGCCCTGTGGACAGCTCCAGGGGGTCTGTAGAACATGCATGGAGCACGACCTGAGCTACCGTCAGTGGCCGTTTTATAGATTGCTTTTAATTTGAAAATGAATAATCTAGCCAACAAACCGCTTATCGAGAATATTCTGTGCTGGTGGTTCCAGACTCGGTGTAAATTGCATTTCCTAATGCTATGCCTTTAGTTGAGCACATTTCTAACTTTGTAATGTTTTGGGGTCTTTTTTAATGGCGTTGTTCGAAATCCTGTATGTAGCAGCTCCTCGCATAGCTGTAGATGGGTCATCTTAAATCACAACGAGGGCTCTGAGTATTCCGAGGGCTAGGAAAACAAACGGTATCCAGTTCAGGGTAGGAATAACATTTTTTTTGGGTAGTCTCGCAGAAGTCACAGTTCTGGTGTAAATGTAGGGCTGTGTTAACGGTTGTAATCTTTCCCTTACGAACGTCATTAAGGGGGTCCTGGGCGTGTAGTGGAGCGGCTGCTAGAGGGTAGAACTCCGCAACGAGCATCGTTAGGGCAAACGATCCCCTGCCGGGAAATAATTGACAAGGCATTAGAGTTCTTGGTGCGTATGAAGGGAGTGATACCAGACCCACCCACAAGTTTGCAATTGATGTGCTCTCAGAGCTTCGTGATCCTGCCTAAAATGTATGTCGGGCTGACAGGTTTTAAAAACCTAAATGGCCTTGGATTAAATGCTTCCCTGCTTTTTTATTCTTTTACTCAGTGCAGGTATTACAAAACGTCCTCAGAATGCAATGAGAGTAAGTTTTCGTACATTTAGACAATTCCTCCTTGTTGGTGGTATGGCAGTCAGAAAGTATTGTTACGCCCAAGTTACATGCACTTTCTCTGCCTGGCGTGAACCATGGAAAAATTAACGTGAATCCCCTTGCCGTCTGCCTCGGGGAAGGGAGCACAAAGTGCATTGTTCCCGGTGCAAAGTGTCCCCCATCAACACAGTCTCTTGTTGCTTAACTGCTTCTGTCAGGCAGTGGGTGCCTCTTGCTAGCAGGCTCTGGTGGCGGTCCTCCTGGGGATATTCTCTTCCCTGTCTAGGATGTTAAAGTAGCTTTGAAAGCCTCCCTAGCTAAACCTTATCTGTGTAGGAGTTACACATTGAAAGTCTGTCTTTGCCCCTTTTGATATATTTCTGCAGTAAGCCCCTTGATGCCGGTGGAATTTTACAGGTCAAGGATACTGGCTTGTGAACTCAGAGTTACAGTATTGTTTGCAAGTTTGCACCTTCTCTATGGGATGTTTCTTATTGCTAGGGCCAATATTAACTAATAGAATTATACATCTGTATTAGGAAGAAGTGTAGCTGTTGAACATGAAAAGATAGCGAAGTCCTGTCCCAGATACCCAGGAGAATTTCCAGTAAGAAAAGTCCATGATCCCGGTCTGTAATCTGGAACAGATTTCCAAGGTTCAAGTAAAGATGCAAACCAGTCACCTGACAAGTAGCAGGATAGGTGGCTGTAGCAGTGTCGTATGTACTCCCCAGAGACATATGGCTTGGGTGGACAGATGTATTAAATTGATCTACTAATTCAGATGAGGCAGAAGGGGCTGTCTGTAAGCAGTGAATATGGTTTGTTTGCACCTGTGTCCAGACTGTGTAGTGCCTATAGGCTTGGCCAGTACCAGGTAGCCTTTGGAACACTGTCAGTTGTTGGGAAAGAAATAGGAAGCTCCAGCTTCTCCAGATCTGCCCAGCGGTCTTCAGTTTGTGTGGTGCTATCTGAGATGCTTGTAGGATGGTACCCTGCATTTGCCATGCTTCTTCCATAATGGTTTCTCTCTGTATAATGTACTCTATGCTGAAATTTCCTTGAAGGACAAGATTGAGCCAGCAGGGAATATAGCAGGCCTGGAGAGAGCAGCAAATAGCAGGTACAAGCCCTCATGGAGACCGGCTTTATATTGATAAGAGGCACAGCAGAACCCTGCAAGCAGAGGTTAACTTCTTAACCCCAGAAGCCGTGTATCAGCAGAGAGGAGGGTAGTGACCACACTTTCTACAGTGTTCTTGTCCCAAGAGCAGCTGTTTTGGGGGAGTATAGTCCGTTGTATCACATCTTCATCCGGCCTCGGTGGAGAAAGAAGTGTATGTCACCAGCATTTCATTGCCTTGTTCATACAAGCTTGGACACCAAAAGGGGTTGGTTTTTGATAGCTTTATATACTTCTCTACCCACTGACTGGACTGTATGAAGGGCCTGGAGAGAAGTCATGTGAGGAGTGGCTGAGGGAGCTAGTTTGTTCAGCCTGGAGGAAAGGAGGCTCGGGAGGGACCTTCTGCAACTGCCTGAAAGGAGGTTGTAGCCAGGTGAGGGTCTGCCTCTTCTTCCAGGCAGCCAGTAGTGATAGGACTAGAAGAAATGGTCTCATGCTGTGCCAGGGGAGGTTCAGGTTGACGTCAGGAAGAATAGAAAGAATTCAAGTACTGAAAGGGGCTGTGCAGCAACTATCCCTGGAGGTGTTCAAGAAACAGCTGGATCTGGCAGTTAGTGTTGTAGTTTAGTTGCCATGGTGGTGTTTGGTTGAAAACTGGACTCAGTGGTCTTGGGAGTCTTTTCTAACCTTAATGATTCTATGATCAGCACTACTCTACAGTACAAAGAGTAAAAAAGCCAGCTTTGAATTTGAGTCGTTCATTGTTTCCAATATAAATTGTCCTCAAAACCACAGAGCATGCCCTATGTCTTGTCTTTTGTTCCTAGGTTGCACTAAGAAGACAGCAAGCTCAGGAAGAGGAACTGGGAATCAGCCACCCAGTGCCCCTGCCCACTGTCCCTGAGACGTTTGTTAAGAAGAACAGTGGTGGCAGCTCTTGCCTCTCGCTGGAAAGCAGCAGCCCAATGCACTCGACAAGCACAGCCATGACAGCAGCTAGTACACCACCAGGTAAAGTGCTGGGAGAGCGATGCTCTCGACTGGGGACAATGGCCAACACTGCTGCTGCCTGCTGTTGACACCTGTTCCCCTCTTTGCAGTGACAGGCTTATGGAGAGTCCTCTCCCCAACAGCAGCCTTGTACTTTTGGTAGAGTTAGTGGAAGGGAAGGATCCAGTATCAGTCTTTAATATTTTATTTGATTATTTTTACTTGAAAATCAGAATTTCTTTGACACAGATTGGTGCTGTAACAAAATTTGATAGGGTGTGTGACTGCAGGTAGAGAATTATGGGAAGCTTTTGTACTTTGTCCCAAAACATGTACTCCTGCTGCAGTCATAGTAAATGGGTTTTGGCTGCCTCTGTAGCTTCTTCAAAATTCGAGAATTTTCAGAACTGTATAGAAGCCAAGTACAATAGGTAATATTATGGACCCCAGCAGCAGAGATCTGCCAGCCTTACATGACTTGATGTGGTGGCACATTGGTTCTGTGTGGCATGGTGTGATGAACTGCAAAAGAGTGATGTAATCCTTTTCTTTTACTACAACTTACTGTATTGCATTTCGACTTGTAAAACAAAACCCCCCAAAAAAACAACAATAACAGTACTTGTCTGTATATTCAGTGAAAGCTTGGCTAAACAAAGATGGGATTTGAAGATGCTAGGCAAATGAAGACTCTGGGCAAAATGTTTTTTCCTATGCAAATTGCTTTTTCCCTTTTCTAACTATGCCTGACAGATACAGTGATTGAACATATATAAGAAAGAAGGAAGGAGCTGGTGTAATTGATTTCTTGTGTATAGACAGAAAAAAACAAACAAATGCAGGTAGAAGGAAAAGGAAATTCCATTCATTTTTAATCATCTATACACATGCCAGTAATAAGGTGAATATAGTTGCCAGATAGAAAGATGATTCTAAAGTGGGCAGTGCCTTGCAATAATTAATAAAAGGACAAACGTGTGTGTTTGTCAAGTGACTCTATTCTGTTTTGCAGGCCATTAAAAGTATGTCAGATGAATTTGTTGGATCTAGTGCAGACAGGCAGTTTCAGACCATTGTAGAGAAATTTTGTTGGGAAGCTTTTAAAAGAACTGCTTAATAAAGCAATAAATAGCTTTTTATTAGCTTTTTTTTGTTTTCATTATGTTAGTGTCACCTTTGAATTGATGCAGTTACTCCTTTCATATTTGCATTGCTGCGTGCTTTGTCTATAGACACGGAAAAAGCTGGCTAAAGATTAAAGTAGTATATTCAGTAATATACAGAGATTGTGTGTAGCTCAGGAGAACAAGAAGATCTTTGCTTATACAGAAAGGTTGAAGAATGAAATAATTTTACTGTTGACAAAACTGGAATAAGCTTTGATCTTAATGTTTTTAAAATAACAGTATTTAATTTATTAATCCCATTTTAATAATTGCTAATTAATTGAATTAAATTATGGTCTTTTAATGAAAAACATTGACCAAACAAGCTTAAGGTAATTCACATGCTTGAATAAGTACTTGAAAACATAAAACTGCCTAATTTTAAAGTAATTTGAATTGTTCTCCTATTTTTGGTTAGAGCAGTCATCTTTCTTACCATGGAATTTGAGCAATCTAAATACATTGTTTCCCAAGCATTTTACTAAATAACTAAGTGTTGTTATTTTTGTCCAAATAAATAACTGTGAGTGACAACATTTGAAATATACAGCTTCATCTCCAGAACGAAGATGCAATTACAGTCACGAATCAAGACAGCGTCAGCCTTGTTCACCAGAAATGGGAGCATCTGCAAATGAATAGGAAATCAAGTTCATAGTTTTGCTTTTGGGCACTTAAGTAGCAAAAGACATTGTGCTTAGCTCAGAGGTGACTACACTGTATAAACAAAGTAACGTCCTTATTAATTTTGGTAGCTTCATCTGCTGAAAGCAATGTCAGTACTCACGGGCTTTGACTATGTGCTGACTCGGAAGCTGGAGAAAGTGCTCTGCATTCTCCCAAAACAGTATGGTAGCTTTTTAGTACACGCTGTGGTGAGGAATATAGCCTAAATATCCTCATGCTCCTATTTTTAGCATAATGATCTTATTTTTTTCAGATGAGAAATTGCCATGTGGCGTAAGTTCTGGCTTTAGATGTTGAGTTGTTTCGGGACCAGGTACTTGATGGATTCTTGTATTGCTGTTTTATGATTTTTTTACTATCCTAAACTGCATGCAGAATGAGAGACCCCAACAGAGCAAGTGTCATTGTCTCAGGTTGGTAGGTTGAGGTGCTGATTTTTCAAGAACTTACAGTAATTACTAAAAAAACGAGCAGAGAAAGTGGAACCGTTCATTGCAAGGGGAGTCAGGAGTTCTCTGTGAGCCCCAGGGGAAGCAGTGGCTCCTGGGAGTGCAGCGTGTCCTGTATGGTACATATTGGATTGGGCAAGAGGTGATTTTTGACAGTGATAATTCTGTTCCTCCTCTAAGGTTTTTGGCTTATGAGAGCAGTTCTTCTTTTGGACTCCCATCACATGGAGCGTTGTTTGCCAGCAGAGGAGTGATGTGTGAAGGAGTTACACAAATCAGACATAGTGCCAGAGATAGAGTCATTGCTTGCTGTATCCATTTTATTAGCAGATCAGAAATAGTATGATGCCTGGAGACCAGAGGCAGTTTTTCAGATCCCATTGTGACTCGCTGTTTTTGAAAAAGGGAAAATGAATTATCATGGTCATAGCATAAATGTTTGAACATTAACCATGTCAAGCATGTTTACTTTGGCTGGGAGCATATGTTCCCACTCAAAAGCGAACTGGGAATTTGCAGGGTGGTTGGAAGGGAGCAGACAATGGTTTCAGGGCATTAATAGAGTGTTTTCCAGACTGAATTTGTCGTTTCTGTGCATTTTCCCTTAAAAAGTTACAGACTGCTGAAGGAAAAGGCCATTTAATTGTACAGAGTAGCAAAAGTCCCATGGCATTTGACGTAATTGTCCTTCCTTCTGTAGGATAAGTATATCTTGTTAGGTTAATAGATACGCAAAATATAGGAAAGACTATTGGTGGAGCATGTAGAATGTGCTTTTCAGACATTCACATTTTGTAACATCTGTCTTCTTCACTTGTTTGTGTCAATTCAGATGCTTTCTCATTCTGGTATTTAGAAGTCATGGAGGGACAGAGAGGGGAAACAGATGAGGTCACTAAACACCTTAGAGTTTACTGAAAAAAAAGAAAGCTGCTCACACTAAAGGAAAGAGAATCCATTTCACCTTCACTTCATTATGTTTGGTCCTTGTCACAGACTACGGGTCATGTTTGGCATTTGGCCAGTGGAATTGCTGCAGGATACATCACCAGATGACTAGAAAGTGCTGGAAAGCACCCCTTCTTTCTGCTGCTCTGCACTGTTACTGGCCCAGTTTAGAAGTGTCCAGTATAGATGGGATTACTGCATGATGCAAAATGCCAGCTCTGGGTCCTGGTCCTGTTGTGGTCATTTCCTTGTTGTCTTTGCAATGACAGCAGTGTTCAGGTGTTTTCCTAGTATCACCGGTTGACAAACATAATTTTCGACAATTGTGAATAGTAAGCTTGTATTTGTTATTTCTCTTTGTTACATTTATTATGTTTGACAGAAACAAAATAGTATTTTTTTTCTCCTAAGTAGGTGGTGCCTTCACTTAAACTATTTAACAAATAAAAGGGATTTTATCTGCTCATAAATACAGTGGGGTCAGCAGTAATACAATGCCTAACATATGATGGTACTGAGATCCCTTTGAATGTAGTGCCCTAGCTGTCTGCAAAAACCCTACCATGCCTTTTTTACTCCTTCTTTACTTTCTTGATCACTGTATTATGATTTCAAAAACTGATGCCATGATCTCACAGCTGTTATGCTGCACAGATGATGAGTAAAAAAAATTAGTTGTTATAATAGAAAAATATCATAGGCTGGTTAAAAAAAGTGAGAAATTTTCCTTTTGAAAGAAAGCTCTGTAACAGTATTTAGAGCATAGTGTCATGTGCTGTCAGAATTTCAGTTTCATTTAAAAAGCCTCATTTTAGTCAACTGATCATGTGAAAGCTGCTGTGGCCATTCCACTGTGAGAGTGCTTAGGGGTTGAAACAGGTTATTCAGAGGAGTTCTGGAGCCTCCATGCTTGAGGAAGCTCAGAACTTGGCTGTGTGGTGTATAAGCAACAGGATCCAACTGGGAAGCTGGCTCTGGTTTGAATAAAGTTTGAGCCAGCTGGTCTCCAAAGATCCTTTCCAAACTAGACTGTTCTGTGAATCTCTGAAATTTCTACTTGCTTGCATTGACATTAAGTCAACATGCTTAAATTTGAAGTTCTGCCAGCCTCAATACTGAAAAAGCATTTGCAAGCCTCTGAAAGAAATCTTACTCTTGACCCATTAATGCTCAATGGTAGACTTTTTTTAACAAAGAATTAGACTTGTGTTGGTGACAGGTGGTGGAAGAGATTGATAGTTCAGGTGGCAGCAGCCTCAACAAGGCTGAGCAGTAAGAAGACAGCATTAGCTGCTTTGCCTGCCTGTGTCAGGACTGGCATGATGGCTCCATGCCCTCAGACATCTTGGTGGATCTGCAGTGGTTACTGGTCCATCCTCCTGCCCTTCGCTTTTCTCTTGGTCACTTCACAACTTTCTAAGGATGATTTTCTCCTGCTGCACTCATGGCTGCTTCTTTATCACTTTCAGTTGCTGGCTAGGTCCTGCCAACCTCATTCCATTGCTTCCTGGTGCTTTCCCCTGGCTTCTCTCAGAGTCAACAACTCTCTGTTCGAAAGTGAGGAGTACAGTTACATAGAACTTGTCTTTATTTGATTGTAAAAGCTAGCAAAGAGAAAAGTTCTGTGCCCTTCACCTGTGAATAACTAATCCATCATCATTATCATCATCATCATCATCATCATCATCATCATCATCATCATCATCATCATCATCTGGTTTTCTCCAGTTCATTGCAGTTAAGATGAGAGAAAAATAATCAGATTTGCGTG